TGGCCAGTAGGTGAGGCAGGAGCAAGGATAGACAGGGCTGGCAGACAGTATGAGAGGAGAGGCGGAGGAATGAGAAGGTCACGGGCAGCCACAGTGTAAGAAGGAAAACAAGATAGACAAAAAATATGGGAGCCCAGAGGGAAAAGGTAAGATGAGTTAAGAAAAACCGGCAAGAAACTAGCTAAGGCTAGGTATTTGTAAGACCCCATGTATAATTTATTTGGGAGCTGGATAGTGGGCCCCTCAAAAGAGCCAAAGTAGAAACAATGCACACATAACAAGTGTATTTGGATTTTGCACTAGGGCCCATATTCAGAGCTATAATTTGTTCTGGTAGTCCTTGGTAGTTTTGACCACTAGATGGCAGTTTGGTGGCTCAAAGAGAATTGTGCCTTTTGCTTGACCCCAGCAGTGGTGTTTGGGGAAGTTAATACTCCTTGGGATTGTTTAATCTCTGAGGGGCAAGTTGGCAGTCTGTCCAGCCTGTAAATAGATTTCCTCCACCTTTGTTTTTCTCTGCCTAAAAGGCTACTTTTTCAACTGGGACTCTGCAAATTTTATGATTACATTAGTTGAGGGTTTATTTTGAGGTCCTGCTCTAACTCAGATGTGGTGGGTAGAAGGTATGTATGCCTTTCCTTTTTCCTCTTTGAAACAGTGGTGTACACTGTTAATCCTAGCACTAGGGAGGCAGAGGCAGGTGGATATTTTTTTTCCCCCTCCTTTGAGAGGGTTTCTCTGTGGCTTTGGAGACTGTCTTGGAACTAGCTCTTGTAGGCCAGGCTGGTCTTGAACTCACTGAGATCTGCCTTCTGAGTGCTGACTAAAGGCATGTGCCATCAATGCCCAAAAGTGGATCTCTTGATTACATGGATATAGTGAAACACAGTTTAAAAAAAAAAAAAAAAACCAAACCAGGCTGTGGCTCTGCATCCTAGACAACCCTGTGTGATGATAACAGGCACAGGGCTGTCAGACCCAAGGTCTCTTGCTGGTCATTTCTGGGGGGCTCAGGTGTTCTGAATAAACAGATGTTCTATAATGCCAAGTACCAAGTCTTCTAAGAAAATGGAGGGCAGGAAGGTGGGCTGATGAAATTGTTCAGGGCAGACTTGTGTGAGGTCACTTAGGGTAGGTTAGAGACATCAAGAGATGGAGATTGGGTGAGGGGAGTTCCCTCCAGGCCTGGTGATCTCAGTTCAGTTTCAAGTGCACTTGGTGAGTGAACCAGCTTGTGGAATGTTGTCCTTGGACCTCTGCATGTACACTGCATGCTTGTTCAACTCCATTCATGTAAACATCTGGAAAAAAGTTCAGGGGCTGGAGATAGGGCAAAGCAGTTTTGAGCACTTGGCTACTCTTCAGAGGACCCAGGTTAGATCCCCAGAATCCACATAGTATTTCACAACTGAAACTCCAGTTCCAGGGGAACATATGTGCAGGCAAGTCCACAGCCATACCATCCTGAACATGCTCAATCTCATCTTTAAAAAAAAAAGCCTGGTGATGGTACACACCAATAATTGCATTACTGTGGAGGCAGAGCAGTCAGATCTGAGTTTGAGGCCAGCTTGGTCTACAGAGTAAATTCCAGGACACAGGATAGCCAGGACTGTGAGAATTTTTTTTTTTTTAAATCAATAGTTTCCATAGATGAACATAATTATTTGCCAGTTTAAAAAAAAAAAACCCCACTGGTGAGGTGGCTGGGTGGCAGAGTGCTTGCTTTTCAGCTTTTTAAGGACAAAGAGGTGCACTACAAATGCCTATAACCACTGCTGCAAGGGGCCTGATGCCCTATTCTGGTCTCTTGTGCACGCATAGAAATCTTCTGTTTGAGTTTTAAAACAAAACTGTGCAGACCAGGCTGGCCCCTGCAGTGCTGGGATTATATAGTGTGGCCAATAGATGAATTTTAAAAAAACCAAAAACTTCAGAATTGTGGTGAGAAAATGTTTTTTGTTAGTTCCCATACTAACAGGCTGACTGAACTCACTGTCCTGTACTGCTCAAGTACAGGCACTACGGGTCTGGGCTACTGGGCAGGGAGAGAAGTGGGAACCTTCAGGAGTACAGGGGTTTCAGAACACTGCTGCCTACATTACAGAATTGGAACAAAGCTGGGGGTTGCTCAGTGGCTGCTCTGGGCACTGAGTGGTCCAATAAGATAGTGGGTCAACAGCAAGAAAGGAAGGGAAATCCATTTTCTCAGGTTTAGAAAAGGAAGCTGGGACAGAATGAGGTCATTGGTGGGGAGGGGGATGAGAAGAAATTGTTTGGCGGTTCCAGTGCATGGAAGCCCTGGGCCACTGCTGTTGAGAGCTGCTTTATTGGAAGCTTGTGATAAATGCATGGCCCAGGTCCAGAGGAACAGCCACTTGAGCAATCAGCCCTGCCTGAGTGACTGACACATCAAAGAGGCCATTGTGTGGAAGAGGACACTTTAAAAAAAAAAAAATTATGTATAGTGTTCTGTCTGCTTGTATCCCTGTAGGTCAGAAAAGTGCATGAGAACTCACTACAGATGGTTGTGAGGAACCATGTGGTTGCTGGGAATTGAACTCAGAGCCTCTGGAAAGGCAAGCAGCACTCTTTTTTTGAGGGGGGAGGGCTTCGAAACAGGTTTTCTCTGTGGTTCTGGAACTAGTTCTTGTAGACCAGGCTGGTCTTGAACTCACAGAGACCTGCCTGCCTCTGCCTCCAGAGGCTGGGACTAAAGGCATGCCTCACCACTGCCCAGCCTCTTTATAGTTTTAATTTGTATTTTGCTGTTACTGATAATGTTCAGTGCTGCTTTGTACCTACCTGTCCAGTGTGTATTTTCTTGTAAAATATCTATATAACTACTTTGTGTGTGTGTGTGTGTGCGCGCGCGCGCATGCATATGCGCTTGCACAGTTCTGGCTGTCCTGGAACTCAATCTAGAGACCAGGCTGTCCTAGAACGCACAGAGATCCTGCTACCTCTGCTTCCTCAGTGCTAGGATTAAGGAATGTGCCACCTCATCAGGTAAATTTTTAATGCAGTGCTGGGGACCGAGTCCATTGTACAGGGTAGATAAATTCCCAGTCCTCTTGTTTTTTTTTTTTTTTTTTAAACATGTCTATCCCAGTTCCCTCTCCCTGTCCTTGTGACTTTTAATGGGTGTTTGGTGGCAGAAGTCAGAAGAGAGCATGGGATCCCTTGAAATTGGATTACAAAGCTGGGCAGTGGTAGTTCACACCTTTGATCCCAGCACTGGAGAGGCAGAGGCAGGTGGATCTCTTTGAGTTCAAGACCAGCCTGGTTTGCAAGAGGTAGTTCCAGGACAACCTCCAAAGCCACAGAGAAACCCTGTCTCGGAAAACCAGAAGTAAATAAATTGGAATCACAGATGGCTGTAAATCACATGTAGGTCCTGGTCTACAAGTCACCTCTCCAACCAGACCTTTCTACATTATTTTATTGGTATTTTGCCTTCATATATGTCTGTGTGAAGGTGTTGGATCCCCTGGAGCTGAAGCCACAGACAACTGTAAGTTGCCATCGGGTGCTGGAATTTTAACCCAGGTCCTATGGGAGAGCAATCAATTCTCTTAACCACTCACTCAGCCATTTCTCCAGCTTTTAATTTTTTAAATCAGAAAAAAAAAAAAAAAAAAAAAAAAGTTCAGGTGAGTTCCAACCCAGCCTAGTCTACAGAGCAAGTTCCAGGACAGCTGGGGATACACAGAGAAACTGTCTCAAAAAACAAAAGCAAACAAAGAAAGGTTACTATGAATGTGGACACATAGTCGTAGAGTGCATGTGAGTACAAGTACAGTTGAAGACTGTGGGTTCTCTCAGTGTGTGGGTCTAGGGATCTAACTCAAGTTGTCAGGCTCCATGGTGGGGTGCCTTTACTTACTGAATCATCTCTTGGGCCCCTCTAGACTACTGAGTATACTAAATACAATGATTAAAGTATGTAATAAGGGCCAGTCAGTTGGCCCAATAAGGTTATTTGCAGCCAGGCCTGACCATTTGAGTTTAGTATCCTGGTCCTACATGGTGAGAGAGAAAGAATTCACACAAGTTGCCCTCTGACCTTCACACAAGCATCATCATCACCAACACACACACATAAATATTTTGTGATTTACTGATAAATCTTGGCGTGTTTTTTTTTAGACAGGGCTTCTCTGTGTAGCCCTGGCTGTCCTGGAACGCTGGAATATCCCGGAGCTGGGATTAAAGGCTTGTGCCACCACTGCCAGTCTATTATGATAAATCTTGCATATCCTGACTGTTTTCCAAAGGTTTAGTGAATGGTGATGGGGCTGGGTTTGGTAGGAAATTTGGACCCACTTTCACGTTCTCCAAGTGGGCCATCCCTACATATACTTTCATGATTTACGTACTTGTGCTGTACACACACACACAAACACACGGTATCTTTTTCCTTCTGCTCTTCCTGTTTACCTTAGGAGGTTGCATTTTCTTTTGCATGCAAGTGGTTTACCCCTCAAGCTTCACCCCTGAACGGCCTTTGCCTTTTTTTTTTTTTTTTTTCAAAAATAAATGACTGCAGGACGCACATATGTCCTAATGGCCACTGCCTGCGAAGAGCAAACAAATGCCTCGCCCATTCCCGATTGCGGGCCGCTAGGGTTTGCCAGTCTGCAGCGAGGCACAGCACCCCGTTTTCAGCAGACCTGGGCTGTCACATTCACTCATGTCATCTGAGCGGCGCGACCTTGGGCCAGCCTGTGACGCACACCCGTTGACCTTGGGGGGGGTGGGGACTCTGCTTTCTGCCCAGCGGCGCCGCGGACCGCGGGGTCTCGGGTGGTGGCCACGCGCCGCGACTCGCCAGGCTTCCGCCGTCCGCAGTCCTAAGCTGCCGGCGTAGCGGCCGCTCTGGGTGCAGACGCTCTTTTGCGCCCGGCGCGCGGGGCGGGTGCGATTCCCGAACGCTGTGTGCGCTGCGCTGCGCACGCGCGACGGGTCCGTGGGCCCGCGTGCCCTTACGCAGCTGACGCAGCGTGCCCAAAATGGCGGCGCGGTCGTCGTCGGGGGCGGCGGCGGCAGAGGGGGCGGTGGGGGTGGCAACGGCGGCTGTGACTGCGGCGCAGGGCCTGGGCCGGGGGCAATGAGGCTGACCCGCCGCAGAGCCGTGTAGCGGACACACAGACCCTCCTCCCCGCCGCGGCCGAGCCGGGGGCGCGCGCGCGCGCGGCCGTCGCAGCAGCCTGCCCTCTCCCAACTCCGAGGCCCCGCACGGCACCCCACCAGGGCCCGGAGGATGATGAAGCTCAAGTCGAACCAGACCCGCACCTACGACGGCGACGGCTACAAGAAGCGGGCTGCGTGCCTGTGCTTCCGCAGCGAGAGCGAGGAGGAGGTGAGCGAGCCGCCGGAGCGGGGGTCGGTCTGGAGGGCTCCCGACGGGGTTTCCCTAGGAGAGGCACGGGGAGCGGAGGGGACGCGCGGGCCTGAGGCCGGGGGATGGCTCTCCGCGACCGGGGCGTCAGGGGCCGGCTGCCGTCCTCCTCAACACCCCCAACACGGGCGGCAGCTCTGACCCGGGAAGGGCGGCTTCGACGCTTGTCAGCTCACACGTGCACAAGGCGCGGGCCGGCCTTTGTGGCGAGCCGAGCGAGGGCCGCTGGCCGAGGAGTTGTGGCAGCGGGCGAGCCCTGGCAGGGATGGAGCATCCCGGGCGCTGTGCACAAGCGCACAAGCCGGTGCCAGCCGTTTGATTCTGACGTTGAGCCGATGAGGCCGTGTGCTGGAGCCGGAAGAGAAAGCATACTGGATACAGTATTTTGTGTGTGTGGACCGAAAAAACGCACAAGCATTGCCCTGGCAATTTTCTGTTGTGCATTATAGGATAGTGCTAGGAAAATGGAAAAATTTGGAGTCTGTTTCTTTTTGCTTAAGGGACTTAAAAAAAAAATCTCTGCTTCACAAAATGAATGCAGAAAAGGCGCGTGTTTTGTAAATCCACAAAGAATAGCTGCTTTGGAAATTCATAAGATGCCTGTGGGGACACATTTCTGTCGTGTGCATGGAGGTAAAATGGCAGTTAGCTTGGAAACAATGAAGGACAGTGAAACTAGGTATGTTCTGTCACGGAGGTCAGCGGTAGGATGTGATGGCAAGGCTGCAGTAGAAGTGCATCGTGTTGAAATGGGGGAAAGGAACTTGACCCGTTAGTTTTGAAAAGCTGTGATGAAACAGGCAGATGAATTGCCAGGAGTCACTGTCCGGAGATATTTAATAGTAGGAGGAGGAAGGAATTTAAATGATGGCCTGAAGGAAATCGGTGAAAGCGCTCATTGTATTGTTGAGGGATTGCTTGGGGCGCTTACAGCAAAACAGTTCGGAAATGTATACTTTGTTACTTTGCCTTTGTTACAGAGGTCCTTAAAAGAGATGCTTGGGGGGGGGGGGGAGGGCGCGGGCGCTGGTGTTTTAAGTGATGAGTGGTTTTAGGATACATTCTTAAGTAAAGTAAAAGTGTCATTGATGGTGATGGTCATTGATGGCTTTGTTCTCTCCATTATCACATGTGAAGTCAGATGGGATTTGGGGCAGTTAACTGGAGGGAAAACTAATTAGCATAATAACATGCCTTTCCACAGTACTGTGGTCGTCTGTACCCCAGTTTTAGTGGAAGGTTGTGTAATTTAGTCACATGAATGCAGCAAGACTTAAGATCATCCTAGAGGTTGAAAAGGTGAGTATTTTGGATAAATACTGGAAACTTAAGATCCTAAACAAAGGAACAACCGAGTTTTCATTTTTGGTTAAAAGTTTTATGTGGACTGACAACAGCCTTGATGTCTAGGCTTATTTGTGTGTTTGGCAGCCTATGGCCTTGTGCAGGTCAGACCAGTTATGGGACTTGATTTTTAGGAGCTTGAAATTTTAAACTGTTAGAAGAATTAAAGCATTTGCTTGATGGTGGAGTTTCCTTTATTGAATGTCTTTTTGCACACTGGTTAATGAGCAGAACAGACATACTAATCTTGAATTACTGGTTCAGTGGGTGCTATAATCATAGTCTGGTAAGAAAATAATGTTAACGGACACAGGCCTGTGTTAGAGACTTGTTCTGTTGAGTGAAACAAGCAGGCAGAGCCCACTGAGGTGCAGCCCTCTGTTAGGTGGCATTTGTGGACCAACACTCTGTGTGAATGTACAGGTCTGTCTGTGCCCAGAGGAGTTTTTGATAATCTCTTAGTTCAGAGGGAGTTTAGACCAGAAACTAATCTCTAGGGTACTGTTTAACTCTCAGATTATATAATTGTGTTGGGAAGGGAAGTGATTTGTTAGTTCCAGGGAAACTTCTATGGTCTCAGTAGATGTGCCAGGAACTGGAAGTGTTAGTTGCCACCATTGTGGGAAAAGTGAAATTCACATTTAAGAGGGCATTCAGCCCAATTTTACTTTATTTTTTTAATTGGCACTGATGTCTTTAATGAAAAGAGAATTGTTTACAGACTATCATTAGCACAATGCTACAGTAATAAACAAGACTTTGATTTTTAAATTTAATTAGCCAGTGTCAAGAGAAACATGAGGTGAAGAGAGATTAAAACATTAAAGAAATAATTGACCAAAAATCACTCAGCCACAGAAAACTGTAGTTACAGGTCCAGCAGTGAGAGCAGCAGAAACAGATGAGGGTGAGGGTGGATGTGTGCTTAGCAGGTGTTGAACACTCAATGAAGGCCAAGCTCTCTCTCTCTCTCTCTCTCTCTCTGTACAGTAATAGGAGAGAGCAAGCATTAGGAATGAGCTTAGAGCCCATCAGGAGGGACAGAAAAACCTTCTCTTCCAGGGTGTAGCTGTTGTTTTTGTTGATAAATTGAAATTAACAGGAAAAGAAGTCCCTGCTTATGGGTACTACCAACTGTTCCAAGCATTTCTGTGAATGGGTGTTTGAGTGAGCTGATTTAGTTGTTGTGGTGCCTACCATGGTGCCCCAATGATTGCTATGCTCAGCAGCTGGTTCCCAGCCCTCTGCTCCCTGCAGTTGAATGGTGCTCATGTGTTAGTTTAGGTTTGTCATTCTTGTCATTGTGGAACTTAATTCAATATGAAACTCCCATTCAAAAAAGGATGACTCTCTCTCTCTCTCTGTGTGTGTGTGTGTGTGTGTGTGTGTAGAGGCCTTTCAAATACTTGAGAAAGACTGACTGCATGTCATGAAGGAAATCCCTGCTTAGTTATGTGCATAGGCCAACTGGAAAGGGCTGAACAGCTACTATAGGACTTTGCTCATAGATACTTCCTAGTGTTTTCAGATTTGTATCCCATTTAGAGGCAAGACCTAAGCATAGGTCATTCATTATGTGGGTGGCATAGGAAACAAAGTGAGATGTTCATTCACTACTTCTTTTTGTTTGTTTTGGTTTGAGACACATTGGAGCCTAGGCTGGCCTTAAAGTCCTGATCTTCCAGTCTCAACTTTTTTTTTTATTTATTTTTATTTAATTTTATATAACAAAGTCCAATTAAATGAAAACAAACATTTATACACAATATTTGGGAATTTGGGCGTCGTTCTTTCCAAACTACTTCCTGCTGGTAAGGGGCGCTGTCTTGGGGGATTCGAAGAAGATTCAGATATCCTAGCTGTAGTCTGTAGGGCTGTTTTGTCCAGCTGTTTGGAATGTAGGATCAGCTTGTACTCTGTTTCAGGCGGTCTGGTGTGATCAAACCACATTAGTCTGGAAGGAATCCACATCTTTTCATTTTCTGTGGAAACAAAAATAGAAATACTTTTCCCCAGTAACTTGTTCTTCAACTTAAATTTTGGAGTCAAAGCATTTTTTTTTTTTTAATTTATTATTTTACATGTCGATCCCAGTTCCCTCTCCCTCCCTCCCTCCCTCCCCTCCAGCCCTCCCTCCCTTCTCTACTTTTTAAGTGCTGGGAATACATGTCCAGCTGAAATACTTGTTTGAAAAACAAGATGGTGGGATGATTAAGCAAAGGGTTGAGCATGAGGAGTGAGCCTGGCAGACAACGAGGGAGAGAAAGAGCACTGAAGTCAGATAAGTGGAAAAAAGGGGAGAGATGATGTTAGAGCCAGAGCAGGCCTTCCTAAGCAAGGGACGCCATCTGACTTCTGGTCAGTGATGCTGAGTGCACACCAGGTGATGTTCCAGTGCCTGAGAGAGTCAGGGCAGCCATTACCTAAAGGTCTGCATTACCCCAATGAGTCTTTTGTTGTTGTTGTTTTGTTTTTAGAGACAGGGTTTCTCTATGTATATCAGGTTGACCTCGAACTTGGATATTCACTCGCCTCTGCCTCCCAAGTGCTGGATTTAAAGGTGTGCATCACAACCTACTGGCACAGTCCTGTGAGTCAGTTAGATTTCCTCTATGTGCTCTGTGTGGTATGTGTGTGTAATGTAAATTTGAATGTGTGCGAGTATGGGGACCTGTGTCTGCCATGCCTCTGTGTGGAGGTCAAAGGGTAAGTATCACTCCCTGTTTCCACCTTTTTGCGGTAGGGTTTCTTTGCTGCTAATCAAGTCAGGCTAGCTGGTCTTCACTTCCTGTCTACTGTAGGAGTGCTAACATTGCAGATGCATGCCACCCCATCTGGCTTTATGTGAGTTTGAGTGATGGCTAGCACCTTACGTGCCTTATCCACCCCATCTCCCAGCCCTATTTCCTAAAAGAAGGTTGCCACCTAATGGCTTTCCATGGTGAGGTGTTAGGTTTGCCTGGCAGGTTGCTGTTTGTGCTTTCTCAGACCCTTGAGCTCACCAAGTCGATGGGGAGTGGACTGACTCTGGAGATCCTCAGTGGGTAGAGAGACTCTGGTGGCCTGAGTGTTTGTCTCTGAAATCCCTCAGAGGGGTGGGTGGAAGGACGTCACTACAGACCACACCCTCCAGCAAGCTCTAGAGAGGGCAGGAAAGCCCTGGTGGCAGTCTCTGATGATAACCCTGACAGGGCTTCAGCAGATCTCAGGCTGGTGGGGGAGTCCTTGTGCAGGGTGTCCAGCATTACATTGTTCTAATGTTAAAGTAGGGGCATTTCTGTTCTTCATCTCTCTAAATTGGTCATGGTGACTTTTATCTAATTCCCCTCCTTCCTAGGGTGTGGGTTTGGTCTGGTCTGTGGTCATACCGTACTGTACCTCTTTTTTTTTTTTTTAATTTCTTCTCCACTATGTTGTTTAGGGAGGCCTCTAACTCTCTGTGTAGGTCAGGATGGTCTTGAACTCTCTCATTCCTCCTGCCGTGTTCAACCTCCCAATTACTGGAATTACATGCACTTACACAACCCCCCCCCCCCCCCCGTGACCAGCTGCCTTCTCTATTCTACTTTTAGAACCACTCCTTGCCCTAGCCCTACTTTTTGCTTTTAGATGGTTTT